TATTCAGATGTGTCAGAACAAGCAACGCAGCGTATTTCAGCTTCTCATATGAATAGACCGGTACCCCGCAAACTGTTCAACTAACAAAACACAACATAATACGCAAGGACATTTCAAGTAATCCTGCGCCCCAACGCAGATAATGCGTTAGCCAGCAAATCAAATAATCAATCGGACGAGCCTCAAACAGACTGGGTGTGATAAGCGATAACAACAGTCGAGAGAGGAGTTTGTTTTGGACTGCACTCGAGGTATCAGCAGTAAAGTAGTCCTGGGCAATCTTTGGTAAAAATGTGCGAAACTCATCAGTCTGAAAACGAGCCGGCTAGAAACAAAGCACAAAAAATGCATTTAACTGCTGTTGCGAAAACGAACCTTCCAATCGAAAAATCAGAATGAAGGATACGCTACGCACATGGGCCCATTCACATCGCTCATCTTATTCTTTGCGTATTCGATGCGAATACCGCCACGATCCGAACTTGCAATATGAGCCCCTTGAAGCTGACTCATCGCAATAGTAGCTTGTCGTACATCGCTAAATTCCGCAAATGCTACTGTTGAACCACCTTTTGTATGGAGTCGTAAACGTGTAAATCCCGGACAAGCACGGAAAACCTGGAAAAGAGAAAAACATCCGTTCGTTATTAAATCCCAGACTACAACTTGAAATTCTCTAGACTGTTCAAAAATCCCACTTAATTCGCAGAAATCTTGGTTTTTTTCTCCTTTCTCCACACTTTTCATCAGCTGTTTATTAACCACGTTCACCATCAAAAACTAGATACTATGAAGTAGACCCACACACACTACTACTAGTAGAAAGCGTACCGGCTGCCGGTACGAGGATGCGTTTTTTGCACGGTTCCCCCGGGCAGGTTTTTTTTCGCCAGTGGCACGTTCTTCCTAGCAGATGTTTCCAGCTAAAAGAATTGGGACTGGCCACCACGACTGTCAGAAATTGTTACAATGACTCCCAATCCATGCCCGGAAGATCCAGCCTTCTGGATGTTTCGGCTGCAGAGTTACGTCAAATTCCACGTGTTCATCTTACGTCAATGCTTTTTTCGCCCGCAGTTGCTCAAACACGGTCCTGGGTAGCGCTCAGAAAGTTTCAGCACTC